GTGGAGTCCATTCTGACCCACAGCGCCCCTAGAGGACAGAGGGGAACTGCCCCACAGAGTTCTCAAGGCTGCCATCTTTACAGGAGCAGACAGCCTCGTCTTTCTGCTACAGAGTGGCTGGTGGGTTCCAACCACTGGTCTTTTGCTTAGCAGCAGAGTGCTTCACCACTGCGCCACCAGGGCTCCTCTTTATTTTTTTCAGCTCTCTAGCTGGGGAAATGAAAACTACCCAGCACGCGATAAGCCCAAATGAAAGGGAGGGGAAAATAAAGGATGTGAGCCTCAGAGCAGGGCCGGGCCAGGACCACCACCAACCCCCACCCAAATCCCTCAGCACCTTTGTTGTTTTCACGTAATCAAAGAGCTTGTGTCAAAGCGAAGCCACGGGCCAGGAGGCAGAGAGCCTGGAGTGTCTGGGGGTGGCGCCAGTCACACATCACTCACATCCACTCTTGGGCTGGTTAAGTCCCTTGTCTTAAATGGATGTGGCGTTTGCACAAAGCCCTTTTTCCTTAGGAAACCCAAGGAGCTCAGTCTCCACCAGCCAGTTGCTGTGGTGTCATCTCCGACTCCTGGCGTCCTCACGAGCGTCAGCGCAGCCCTGAGCCCCACAGGGTTTCCATGGCTGATATGTATCTATATTTTAAATGACATCTCAGGCTTGGAGCTGAGGACGCCGTGACACACACTGGAGGCTCACGGGGCCTGAGAGATGGGGTGCATGCCTGCACTTTACTGGGAGGACATGAGGCCCAGAAGGGCTAGTGGACTAGTTTGAGGTCATATGGTGATAGCTTAGGAAAAAACGGGCATGTGGATGTGCATACATGTGGATTTGCTGGACTCAAAAGGCGGTGTCTAAATTTTAGGGAAAGATTCATACTTTGGCATTAGTTTCTTTGTACCATCAGGCCTCGATTAGCCTTTCAGAGGGTTCAGGAAGGTGCGCCCCTATCTGCAGGAGGACTGAGCTGCACCCAGATTTTCTTTGCTTTCCAGCTGCTGGGTAGAGTCTGAGAGGGTACTTCAGGAGCATCCACGGGACTCCCCAGATGGAATTTTGGTCATCGCTACCCCCAGCACTTGGAACCAGCGAACTCTGACCTCATGACATCATTAATTGAAAAGACCCAAGTCAGGGGTTTGCCTAATTGGTCCCAGAGGCTGACAGCGCAAACATGAAGGCAAGAATTGGGACAACTGAAGACACACCGCTGATGGCAATGAATCTCTTCAAGAACCGAAGCAAACCTCCCGGCCGCAGCTCAAGGCTGACAAAAGCCCGTGCCGCTTTGTGCTCATCCCAGGACACGTGAGCAGCCACCACTAAAAACGCGGCTGAGGACATCCGTTTGCGGACACTGAAGCTGTGCACTCAGTCTGTCGGTTGCTAGTTACCACCCCGTCGATCCTGACTCCTGGTGAGCCCACGTGTGCAGAGTAGAACTGCTCCATCGGGGTTTCAAAGCTGTGACCCTTCGGAAGCAAATCGTAAGGCCTGCCTTCTGAGGTGCCTCTGGGGGCTTCGTTCTGCCAACCAATGAGCTAGTGGCCGAGTGCTTAACTGTCTGTGCCACTCTGGACTCCTCTGTGCCCGTGACAAGACAGGCAATTGGAATGAGAGGTTTTGGGGAAAAGAAAGACATTTATTATAAAAAGATGGTGGCCTACAGAACTTCATAAAAACAGCACTCTCTCCCATTCTTATATCTGTAAGTGAGACAGGGATTGGCCATTTGCTCAAGGACTCTGGCGTAGCAAACCCTTCCACTTCATAGTTCAAGGTACAATGGGAAGGTGGACACAGCTGGTGTCAAGTGGGCTGGGAACGTTTCAAAACTGTGTGGCTGTGCTGCCAATGGTTGCTGCAATCTCCTCCACTCTCTGCTGAATCAGGACCACCTCTATCAGCTCACTCTCAGGAGCCAACTCAGGCTGCAGCACGACCAGTCTATACCTGCCCACTCTCAGGAGCCGAGTCAGGCTGCGTCGGGAACGGTCTATACCTGCCCACTCTCAGGAGCCGAGTCAGGCTGCGTCGGGAACAGTCTATACCTG